TTCTGACAGCACTTCAGACAGCAGCTTTGTGCCCCGCCAGCTTCTTGTTCCATGCCTACCATGGTGTTTTTGTACAGACAGCACTTCAGACAGCAAGTATGCTGTAGTCGGCAATCATTCGTTTTGGTACAGAGTGGGACAAGTAGGGGGTGATGTTGCTGTAGTCGAACGGTGAGACGGACGTGTAGTTCAGTTTTGGGCACGCGTACGGTGCTGCAGGGATTATATATAGGTGTAGTAGTACCTCTTCGGGCTCTTGTACACCTTTTTCTTGCTACATGTGCGTGTTCTTTAGATCCTCAGATGGCTCCAGCACGTTCGTGACCACGGGCCGAGAGTCTTTGCTAGATTTTGGCATTTAGCAACTGGCATACGGTTTAATGTGAAGTCAACAACAACAACAACAACAAGCGTCAGCGAAAGCTACCTGTATTTCCACGGTTTCCCGAGCAGCATTGTGAGCCGGTCGCCCCGGTGGTCTAGTTGGTAACCTCGAAACCTTCTAGAGGTCAGGTCAGGTCAGGGGTTCGAATCCCGGCGTAAGCGAAGCGAATTTTCTTGCAAAGTAAGTTTTTCTCTCCCTTTCGCTCCTGGCCTGGTGGATAGCGCTAGTTCGTGTGCACACGGAGGGAAGAGAGTGCTGAACTCTTCTCGCATTAAAAATCGAAGGCAAAGTACCGCAGAAGGGGAGGGTAGTGAGAGGCTCTTCTGTTGTTGTTATTGTTTCTCACATTAGCTCTAAAAAAGAAAGATTGGGAGCCCGTGGTCTCAAAACCCGGCATACACGACCCCACGAAGAAACAGAAAAAAATAGGGTACAAGAACCACTCGGAAGAGAAACAAAATGATCTGTGTGACCACGGGTTGGAGTAAACGGCACTAGTGCCGTGAGCGCTGGTTTGAAGTGAAGAAAAAAAAAGAAAAAAAACAGCGATACCTCCCCTGTGGGTAAAGGGCTTTACTGCTTGTACCAGATGGTCAAATGGTACAGAACACGACTCGTGTCTTTGTGACGTGGTAGCGGATTCATGCAAGGGGAGGTCTATCCAACAAAGCTGAAAGGTTGCACCAGAAACGCACAGCCTGTGTGCTCCTTAGCGTGTGTTCAATCCTCGAGACACCGCTGTACGCCCTGTTGCTCAATTTTGGGTGATTCCTCTGCTGCACAGGTCCTATGCTGTAGTACAGACCAACACGTCCGCGCCTTCATTCATTCGCAACAAATTGTTTGCCCGAAAAATCAGATGTATGCATACAGTATCCTACATGGGGCGGCGGGTGTTTGAGGTTCGGTTGTCTTCTGCCATGAATTAATTTTTTCTGGCGCCATCGCATTATGTCTATTTCCAATGTTGTCTGTGCATCCCGTCGGCTGCGGTTGTGATTATGTCTCCAACGGTTAAATGTTTTTTTCTGGTTAGTAATTTTTGTCTGTGCATTGATAAAACGCCGGCCTCTGCTCAGCTATCTATGGAGTATCCACACCGGTCGAACTGAAGCAGACGGCTTCCGGGTCCCAGGCCAATGACTGACCACTTACCACGCGCAACGCACGTTATTGCGTTTTTTTTTTCCTCGATCGCACAACCTTGACCTTCTCTCACCCACCAGCTGACTGCTGACGATAACGTGGGATTGATCTCGCCACAGCGGTCATACGAACGCTGGGAATTTGTTTCATTATTTCTCAAATATGCGATAGGAGAGTTGTGGAGATCGATAACCTCTGTGTGTACTCAAATATTCGACTTTATGGTCGACGAGGGAAACGACCAGCGGCTGAATCTTCCCGCGACAAGGGTTAATTAATCAACTAAGCAAGCACAGAGAGCGGAGAAAAAACGCCCGTGTCGCCTTCTCCGGTGTGAGGCTGATAAGGCGTAAGATTACCCTCCAGAACAAACTGAATAACAAAATAAAAAAGACAACGTACCAGTCGGGGTCACACAGACAGGTCATGTTTTTTCTTTCCAAAACGCGCCCTTAATTGCGTCCCTGCCGTCGCATTTTAACGCGAGATGAAGGGTGCAACAGCAGTCCTTGCCTCACCAAGTTCGTAGTCGCTTTCCGACCTGAAATTGCAATCTTTTCACTCCCGAGAGAGATGCGAACCCATGACGCAACCTGCTGCTTGCTAAACAGTAGCGTAGGCGAGGTTGCGCATTTTTCACACCATATATGTTTTTCCGGTGCAGGGATCGCCCGGCGATTCTTGCCTAACGGATAACACTCATGGCACTACTATCCACGACGTTATTCTGTAGGTATGTAGCGAGGAACCCGTTGTGTTGTTGTATGGATCGAGGACCCCGTCCTGTCGGCGAGGGGCCCTGGAACTGCAAGAGCGCCCTACGAGTGTTAGGGTCGTGGATTTTCAGAAGGGCTCAAATGGTGATGATATGCAGGCCGAATTTAAAAGTCTGTATCCCAATTGCAACCTCAACCGCGCAGTCGTGAGTGAAAGCAAACTCTTCTCGCGTTGAAGCTTGGAGGAAAGCACCGCGGAAGGAATACAGAGCAACAGCAGTACAAACAGATCCGTTTGTTTACCTGCCTCCGGTGTGACCCTGGCTTGTGCGTGCAATGTACCAGGTGTACCGAAAGGCGTAGACTAGCGCCACAACAGAGTAGACGGGAGGAAACCAAACAACAACCAAACGATGCCTTCGGTCCCAGCCGATGAGACTTAACTTTGTGATAAGCACTCCGGTGAGTGAGTCCCTGCTTGGGTATGTGCAGCTTCTGCATTACCAGCAGAGTATGCAGTCGATAAAACCTCATATATGACGCGAAGAACTTTCTTTCGCGTCGCGGTAGAGGGTTCTTTCGATCATGAAACATTTTTTTCGCTCATGATGTGCAATTTCGGCAAGCCGATTTTTGCGCGAGCCCGCGCGTGGCAGAATGTTGTGCACCCACCACAAGCCGAGTGGGATCATCACGTGGGTGGGGTGGAGCGTTGGAAATTGGCATGCTCACTTCACCCCACCAAATGATAGCTACCGCGTTTCAACCCCATCACCGATGCAAACGCGTATGGTACCCTCGGCCTCCAAGTGGGGCACACTTCATCGCAATATTTAGCAAGTTTTCGAGGGAAGTGAGATTGTTGTGGTGATGGTCGATCACACGCAACGGACAAATGGGAATCGGGTTGTAAACCCACACGCAAGGCACCTCATTGGCCACTCGTCCACAAACGGACGATCTACGTATTCGTACGCCAAGCAACAACAGCAGCGTGATCGTGGATCTCCCGCTGTCCTGCTGCTACGATGCTTCCGACACCCGTCTTGTGGTGAAAGTCGAATGCACGGAACAAATAGATGATCAGGTTCTAAGATCCACACCCACCATACCGCCAGGCGCCCATTGGTCACCCGTAAGAACATGCGCGATTAACGTCGAACCTTAGGTGCACTTACGCAGCCCCATGTGATCGCACAGAATACGTACCTGGTTCATGTTTGCTCAAATGCACACCCACGAGTGCATACTTTGTGGCGACGAGTCCATGTTGGAAGTACGCTGAAATCGATTCGTGCTGCATGGTGGCGAAACCGGCCGAAACCATTTGTTGCGGGACTTGGCACTCATTTTTACGAAGAGAATCCGACCCCCCTGTCCTGACTGAAGTCGTCTTGCACGAGGAATCTCACTGCAGAGGCAGCTTGCATCGGCCGCATTGAGAGGAATCCACCGAAGATGTCAAAGGAATTATGCCCCGCGTTCTTCACGTTGGTTTGTTTCGTACCATCTGTTCTGGGCGCCAGTCCAAGCCATCCAGTATATCCGCCTGAGGACCAGACGGGCTCACACACAAGGCTGTCTGTATGTTCATCTTTCCTCCTTCGGTGTCCCTTGACTTCAATTATCACGCGAGAAGGGTTCAGCAGCCCCTCCCGTATTGTTTGGTGTACTCGCTACTATGCGCTTTTCACTTCTTCGTTGCTGTACGTTTGGTCACTCCCGGCAGATTTGGTCCCATGATCTAGAGCCAGAAGGATTAACGAGTGTTCCCACTGAACCTCGTCCCCACATAGCCACTGTCATGTAACCGAGCTTCATACGATTTGGCATCCCGGAAGTCAGGCCACAGGAATTGAAGCCACTGTGACTCGCGTCTTTTGTTTTGTCCCTTTGTCTCCCTCTCGTCGCAGGTATCTTCCTTTTTGCCCTCGCGCAATCCAAAGCAGCCCCTCGGAGCAGGTGTCTTCCATGGATCGTATTCCTTTTTTCCGTCGTGCATTCCGACGCAGCCCCTCGGAGCAAATGTCTTCCATGGATCGTGCCGCACTGATTGCGTTGTTTCATTCGACTGATGGAGCAAATTGGAAAAGGAAAAGGAACTGGAACACGGACGCGGGGCTGGCTACTTGGGAGGGGGTCAGACTTAACCACGCGGGCCGTGTGGTGGAGCTGGCCCTGCCGAACAACAACCTCCACGGTATTGCAATGTCTCGTCCGCGTTGTGAATTCGCCCTTGCTATGCCATCTGCTTTGCGTCAGCATCGAGTTGTCATTGGGTGATCTTCCCTATGTTGATTGATGCGAATTGACGCCCTTTGCTCCCGTGTTTAGCTAACATGAGCTTCCACGAGCGTCCATGACCTTCCAAGCATTACTTTCGGGACGATACCAACCTCACAATTCCCGAATATATGATGAAGGTAAAACACGGGGTGATTGAGAGCACCGCTTTGTAGCGCCCTTCATCTGTACCCCTAGAACCGAAACCGATACCCTTTAAGAGAATGGCCTCATCTTTTCTGAGCGGGGAAACATTTGTGGCATGAAACATAGCCTATTCAGTGGTACGACCGTGAGAAGATCGGCGGGTTGTATCGCGAGAGACGTTTGGGAGGTCGGGATGCTGGACCTAAGTGTCAGTGCGATTGCTGATCAATTTCGTCGCGATCCGAATCGACCTGGACTCTGAGGGAAACAATAATGGGCGTTGTCTCATGGCTGGCGTTGGGGTCTGTAAAACAGTTTGGCTAGGTTGTAGAGCACCTCCGTTCAGTACACACAAGGCGTTGGCGACACAT